CAGAAACTTCCAGAGCAGTGTTTCTAGTTACTTGCGATTGACGCTGGGCGGACATGGCCCCGGATTCACACACACCCAGAGAACCTGTAGATGCACTTTAAATGGATGCTCCTCAAGTGGCCATCTTGGAACATCAGCTGATGGATGACAGGTGTGGAGTAAGGTAGTCACAGAAAATAAGGCACGAGTAAACAGAAAGGGAACAGATGCAGCGACATCCAGTCTAGGGGAAATGTAAAGCTAATAAACCATTTCATATTATTTTTACAAGGAAAAAATCTTGCTAAATACTGATATGTGCTGCAGTATAGAGGAACCTTGAAAACATGCTAAGTAAAAGGAGCCAGACACAACCAACCACATGCTGCATGATTCCATTTCTGCGAAATGCCTAGAACAGGCAAGTCGACAGAGGCAGAAAGCAGATTAGTGGCTGCCTAGGGCTTAGGGCTTTGGGGGTGAAGAGGATTGGGGGTTTCTTTTTGGGAGGATAAAAATGTCCTGAAGTTGATCATGGTGATAGAGGGACAATCCTGTGAATTAAAAACCACATAAGCTTACACTTAAAAGAGGTGAATTGTATGATGTCATTTATATCTACTAAAGTTGTTACTGAAAACACACACACACACACACACACACACACACAAAACAATACCCACCACAATTTAACACAGCATATTCATGAAGTTGATGGTCTCAAAGAACCCCCTGCTCATCAACATAGGCAGTGACAGATTTTTCCTGAAGCTGGGGCACTCCAGGGCCCTTACACGTGCGTGTCTTTCTGGTCTCATAGTAAGGGTAAGCCGTGGTGCTGTTGTAATGCTGGGTCACGTTCCCTAAAGAATTTCCCATATTGAAGCTGCTTCAAGCATTTTGCAATGTGAGGACTCAAGTGGCTTAAAGTTCTCAACAAGCCCACCCAGCTGACTAAATAACTGCCTTCTCATGGAGACAGTCTTCACGGAAAAAATAGGGAAGGATGAAGGGGGAAAGCAGAACCCCAACTGTCCACTACCAGGAAGTCTGAATTAGTCTCTTTTATTGAGACTTCTATTTCCTGTGGCATAGCATCTCATAATGAATTGAAAAACTAGGGGTTCTAAGATATATTCCTACATCAGTGGGGAGGCCCAGGGGTGGAAGGAGTTGCCCCAGCAGTCCAAGGATTGCAACAGGAATAAACGAAAGAACAGGCACTTTATCATGGGGCTCAATCCAAGAGATGGTACCTTGAAATTTATATACATTTACTGTCATAAAGATGGGTAGTCAGTTTTATTCCTGATGTCAGAACAGTGAGAGAGATTCCTTCCTGAAAAGGAAAAGTATCCAGAAATCCATTCAAGTAATGTCAGTTTTGCTGGCATGATCTCAGTCTGCTCTTACTTTCTCTTAATTGCTTTCCACACCCAAAAAGAGGTGTGTGTGTGGGGGGGTGGGCGGGGAAGTAAGACCATTACCTGACTTTAGCTGTTCTAATGATAAATAACTGCTCTCTAGTGAAACTTTAATTACAAGCCAGGCAGTGCACGGAGCAGGGAGTGTCTGGTTCTGACACAGACCACGGTGCTTCCCTCTCTACACTGAGCAATTCAGTCATTACTGAGGCCTGACAAGAATCTGCCCGTGCCTGGGGGCTCAACATACTTCTGCGTTAGGTGTTCACCATCTAGAAACTTCAAGGACAAATCACAGGGGCAGCTGTGATTTGGTTTCCACACCTGCCCCAGGAATTTTTCTTTTAGTTCAAACTTTGACCTTAGCCCTTTCACACTGGCAAACAGTTCAAGTGGCTTGCATGGATTAAAGTTAAAAGTAGAAATAAAACTGCAATTACAAAGTGAATTTTAAAAGGGGGG